ATACCCCAATTCCAGTGCAAGTGCAAGCTTGTAGATTGATACAAAACATCTAGTTATGAGTCTCGAAAAGTAGATCTAGTCACCCCTGTGCTGGATCGTGTTTCTAGGCGTACATTAAAGTGTGGGGGGGGTTGTAAGTGTTTTAGGGCGCTTCCAACTGCATAAGGTCATGATATGAGCACACGGGACACACACAAAATTAAGGACTTTTTGGCGCCGAAGCCTACTCTTATCGATTTTGGACCACCAGGGATCTTCGTTAACGCGCGAAACTCTTGCGGGACCTCCGAGATTTTTCGCCATTTTCCGAGAAACCTAGGTGTAGACCTTTCCTACCAGAAAATCACGGGTGTGGCTGAAAGACTGCCGTATAAGAAGGAGCCAAGAAGTAGCAGTAGAAAGGCTGCAGAGTTAGGAGCCCGGTGGAGGGGGCAAAGGAGGTGAGGGGGTGAGGGAAGAAAGTGGAGACGTAAGCAGACGACAGAATATTGCAAGAGAAGAAGGAAAGAAGGTGAACGTAGACAATTTTAGAGAACAAAAATTTTTCCGTTGCTATCCGGACTCGAACCCGGGACTTTTGAATAAAAGGCGAACCGATTAACCTTTAGGCCCAGGCCACGAGAAACCCCTTTCATTAAAATGTGGAGTTGATGAAAAAGGTCAATCTTTAGATGCATGCTGTAACCCCCCCACCCCCGCCCCTTAACTTAAAAAAAACCCCGCTAACATCAGAGAAAATGTGTCGGAACCTTAGTTTGCAATGGCCTTTATGAATGGATTCTTAGACATTGTTATTCATCAAACTTTTAGACCCTTATTTATGCAAAGATCTAACTCTAAGAAGATCAGAGTGACTTGATTTTTTCTTGTTTTAACCACAGTCAGACGAAAGTAAACAAGCTAGAGGAGCCTAAGTTATATCCTCTTCTGCCTGGACTTAGTCTACTGCCGGACCCAAATAGCCTCTAGATCTGGCCTTGGATCCTAGACCTTAAGCTATACATTACGTTCTTATACACTGAGCGTCTGGCCTTCAGACTAGGCCAGACGAATGCCGAATGGAAAGGGAAAGTAGAAAAGGGGTGCAAACAAGGAGCGAGCCAACCTAGGCTAGGCTAGTTGTCTCCCTTCACCGGCAACCGTTGATGTACTTCCGGCATCAACAAACCAAAATTACCCGCCTGGAATACCCCCTACGAACTGCATCAGTTTCTATCCCAACAGTTCTGCATTCATCATGAAGCTAGTGAGGTAAAAATGCACAGAAATTGTACTATGGCTCATATTAGGGAAGATATTCTGTGATATAAATCGCCGCACGAATATCATCTTTGTTTGCGACGACGTTATCGAAAATAGGTACACCCCCAAAAGCGTCGGCTGATCGTTTTGACAATGAAAGATTCCCCAAATGTAAACAACCACTATTATTGACTTACTTAGTATTCCCTATCCTACAGTTATAAGGTGTGAGGGCACTCCTTGGATATGGTGGTCCCGACTTTTGTGACTGAGAAAGGAAGGACTTCCGTAACGAGCGACCACCCCATCAAACACAATAAAGAAGAGGCCTAGATCTAGATTCTAGATCTAGAATCTAGATCTAGACCTAACCCTACCTCAAGCCCTCAATTCTGCTCTGTCTCATAGTGGTCGCTTGTTACGGAAGTCCTCCCCTGAGAAATAACCAAGAGA